CTTGCCAGTTGCTTGGTTGGATGGGTGGGGGCTGGGGCAGGTCCCTGGGCTGGCTGTGGGGGGAACACCACGCTGCCTCCAGCGTCATCTGCAGTGTTCAAGGTGATGCTTGAAATGTCTGTAACACCAAAGCCGTGGGTTTGGGTTTTGTAACCAGCATTTGGCTTAGTAAATTGCTCTGGTGGTGTCAGAGGGCAGTGCTGCCCATGCTGCACACGCACTGTGTGCAGTGTTTGCCAGACAGTGCTTGCCAGGGGATCGTGTACAGACGAGCAGGGAGAGGGGACATGGTGCCTATTGTAGTGTGACCAGGAACTTCAACTGAACTTCAGCTTTTTTTTTTTATTTTTGGTACTTTAGTGCTATATTTAACAGATATATAGGAAAAATTGAGGATATATTACTTAAATGACTGACCACATGTTCACTAACATATTTTGAAATGCAGTGTAACTTCCAATTATGGTACTAATTTCATCATTTCACATCTCTGAATTAAAAACATTGGCCTTGATTATGATTGCTTAGTGGACTGTATTATTAAACAGTTCTTTTGTGAGCTGCAGTTGGCAGCTGCTCCTGCCTTTACACTACAAATTCCACTTTGGCATGTGTAAACATTAACCGTTAGTAAAATACAGAATAATTTGTCTGTCTCATCTCTGGACCGTTAGAGGCTGCTGAGTGAGGGTTGGGAGTACTGCAAAGAAAATTACTTCAGTGAAGGCTTCTATATTACAGGTAAGGTGTTAACCATTCAATAAATCATACCAAAGTGGTCAGTAGGTGGTTTGACTGTTGGACCTAAACACTGGATTGTGCTGTTAGAAGTTCCTGACTACATCTTGTAAGACCAAATGCAATGTTAAGTGACTTTCAAACCAGCTTTTATGGTGGTTGGAACTGAGTGTGGCATGTTGGTGGCACTAATTTTGGATTTAATATAATTTCTGGACTTTATTTAACTTTTTTTAGGAAATGTTGGAGACCTGTTTGTTATTGTAGTGTTAGCAAATTTTTCTTTTTTTTCCCCTCCTCATTTCACTTTGTTGTACATTTAGCGCAGCATTAAGGCTCTTTGGGAAAATCATGCTAAAAACCTGTTTGCAAACCATTAGATAAGCTCTGTGCCTTTGTCAGAACGCTGACAGAAAGTCTGTGTCCTGAGAGCACCCCAGTCTTGTGGGCCCTGCTGAATGAGTGGGCAGAAGGACCTGTCTCCACTGCGTGGGGGTTTGCTTTTCCCCTGTGTGGTGGCTGAGCCTCGGTGAGCTGAGGCCGCAGCTGTGCATGGCTGAGGCTGCTCCTCAGTGAGCCTCATGTCTTCCAGACCAGAAGGCAAATGGTATTGTACTCTTGTGCTGATGCTGAAATTTCTATAAGCTGGAAAAGTGTGATGGAAGTCTTTCTACCTCTGTATCGAGTGTTCAGGGCTTGCTTTCCTGCAGTGCCACACGGCACGTGTTGTAAAACTTGCCTGTGGCTAGGCAGGGTGGCATGTGGAGCAATTCAGAATCCTGGAACTTAGGGCATTTATTTTATGTGCTTATTTATCCCTTCTGCTTCTGGAAACTGACTGTTTAAGATGTGAGGTGTCTGTGGCTCCTTCGCCTAGGAACAAGCAGAAACAGGACATGCAGGAAAATCAAGTGCTGTAATGTCCCATGAGGAAGTGTGCAGTAAAAAAAGCTGAGAGAATTACGTTTGTGCCTCCTGAGTCACAGTGCAGGGCTGCAACTGAAAGGTTAACTCTGTGCTCCCTGCGGTTACTCCAGTTAGTGCTGACTGTTGCTTCACAAGCTGTTTGTGTTTCACTCGTTTCATTGGTGTGATTGAATTTTATGTTCCTTGAGCCTCCCCATATATGCTGGATGGTGAACTTCCCTCTCTTGTGATTCTAAGCCTTACATTATTGATTACAAGAGTGGGAAAAAGCAGAGTCATCCCACACAGCTCTCAGATGAAGTAGGCAGTGCATCAGTCTCCCGTTCATCACTTCTGCCCTGTGCGTAAAGATCGTTTATCTATAAATAACTATTTGGTAGTGATATACGATTCAGCCAGGAAGAATTGATTTTTTGGCATTGGTAGTTCTATTGCACATGCATAGATTGTTTATTAGATCCTTTTGATGTTAATATTTCCCCTTCACTAAATACTAACATATTTTTCTGTCACGCTGCTATTATGGAGCTAAGCAGAGCAGTCAGTTCACTGATAAAACTTGGCTCTGGTCTTTTGGTCATGTGGACTAGCTTCTGCCATGAGTGTGGCTGAAGTTCCAGCTGTGCTGACCCTGCTTTTCCAGCAAAAACTGGCCTACCTGCTGCTGCTGAAGGGCAAATCAGCTTGAGAGCATTTGGAAAAGGCGACACCAGAATATTTGCTGCTGCTGCTTGAAATTTTGGGGTATGTTGGAGCTATCACCCTTTACATTCCTTCTTTGCATGCTTTCTTTTTGCTCTGCATTTCAAGTCACTCAAAGATACTTCAAAATCCTTTGCATGAAATGGTCAAATGAAATAGTTTAGTTGAGCCTCATTTTTCTTATTCCCAGAGGATTTTTTGAGACGGGAGTTAGGATCATAATGGGATTTGGACACCATTCATTAAAGAGAGGAAACACATTCCTCAACATGCTTAAATTTGACTTGATTTGGCATTTGTCTTCACAAAAGAGGGGTTTAAATTCCTAGTCTGATTTAAAGCAAGGGACTTGAAACTCCAACCTGTCAGATGAGTGTTTAAATCACTAGTCCATTAAATATTGTATTTTCCTGTTTCAAAAATGCACTAACCGTAGTAGCTGCTTGACTGGGCATGAAGCAGGTATCCCCCTGCCGAGGGGAATACCCAAACCACAGACCTGCACTTTCATTTTCTCTCACTGAGAGTCTCTAACTGCATGCTGTGAAAAACAGCTTCAGCAGCAAAGGGTAGGGAAAATGCTCCCAGATACAGAGACACTAACTGGACACAGTTGGGGTGTGTTGCTGAGAGAGGAAGAACCCAACTGTGTCCTAGCAGCCACCCCTGGAGCGTGGGAGGGTGACACCTACACCATCCTGTAAACTGTGCCCATTTAGTCTTCTTTAGTTTCTTTAGTTTCTTTAGTCTTCTAAAGCTTTTCAGAATTCAATCAAAACACTGGGTTGTTTTTTTTTCTGGGCAGGTCAATGTTTTACCTTGAAAAGAGGTAGAAGAATATAAACTCTATTAGTAGATCTCTGAAAAATTCTGGAAAAGTAATGGCTTGAGTAGCTCTCAACTATCAACCAACTTCCTAGCTCGTCCTAACCACTCTCTTTCCACTAAACTATCACTCCACATGCTAGTTTTACTACACAGGAATCCAGTAAAGCCCATCCTTTAGTCTTGGGTAGCAAAAAGTACAAGACAAGATATTGCTATTAACATGTGATAGCACAGTCTTGGCAAATAAAACAGACAACACTGCAAAAGGTTTGAAGCAACAATTTAATTTTAAAAAAGTATCATGGTTTTAATCTTTGCTATTGCTTTTACAGTGTTAAAATTTAAAGGATGTCCAGCATGCCTTCAGTCTTCCTCACATCCAGAATCTTTTTAACAAACTCATTTATATGAAATAGACATTTTATATTGCATTAAAAACACACACAAAAAAAAGACTTTCTAAACACCTGGAGTCACATTTCAAAACTAGCAAGTCAGGCAGTTATCCAGCAACAACCTCCTTATTTTTAAACATTTTTTTTCTTCTTTAAAAAAGGTATGAAACAGCAGTGACCCAGCACTAGCCTAGGTTTTAAATATTAAAGAGATTTTTATCAGTGTAAATTTGAAAAACAAACCAGCTGCCACCACCAGGGTGTTAATGATGTTGGTCAGAGTCCAGCAATGACCTCCTATTGTAATTCGGAGTGTTAATTCTACAGTCCATAATTCATGGCCCACCAAAAGGCAGCAACAAGCAAAGCTGCAGGCACCAGCTTCTGGCAGACACACCTGAAAGGAAGCCTGCAAATCTGTGGGAAGAAAGGGGATGCTAATTAGAAATAACAAGCAGCAAAAAGATGGTGCAAAAAAAGCTAACAAGAACGCCCATGTGTGAGGTGAGTGTGGGCTGAAGAGCACAGTCCAGTTCTGCTGCACAAATGTGTGTTGGGGTCTAATTCTGTTGGTGGCTACTGTGAGTGCTGCAGTGCCAGGGTCATATCCAG